GTTTAATCCTGTTCATATATCTTGAATAAATTACTTTATTTTGAGAAATACGTTCAGGTCACAAGTTTTTATTTTTCACTTTCATGATCAGAGGTGATGTCTTGTCATTTCTTGAGATTTCATAACGTAAAGATCTTGCGTAAGATATGACTTTGTGAGATTAAGCTGGTATTAATTTCATAGAGTGGGTTCTTACACCTTGTAATGCCATTTGGCCTTACCAACGCCCCGGCAGTTTTTCAATCCCTTATCAACGACGTGTTAAGGGATTTCCTCAACTCATTCGTGTTCGTCTACTTAGACGACAAACTCATTTATTCACAAAACACCAATCAACACATCCAACATATCAGAGCAGTACTTCAGCGACTCCTTGAGAACCAGTTATTTGTCAAAGCTGAAAAGTGTGATTTTCATGTATTGTCAGTCTCTTTTTTGGGATTCATTTTTGGCAAAGGTTATTTTCAGACTGATCCACAGAAGGTGAATGCAGTGGCAGACTGGCCGGTTCCCTCCAATCAATGACAAATGCAACGTTTCCTGGGGTTTGCAAACTTCTATCAATGCTTTATAAAATATTTCAGCCGGATTGCCGCTCCACTTACCCAACTCACCTCCACTCTAAAGACTTTTCATTGGAACCCCAAAGCCAATGCATCTTTTGGTGAGTTAAAGAGAAGATTTATCACAGCACCCATATTACACCATCCTGTACCCTCAGATCAGTTCATTGTGGAAGTTGATGCCTCCGATACAGGAGTGGGAGCTGTTCTGTCACAGAGGTCGTCTGAAGATGGTAAGGTCCACCCTTGTGCATATTTTCCCGTCGCCTGTCACCTTCTGAACGCAATTACGATGTGGGCAATTGTGAGTTGTTGGCCATCAAATTGGCATTGGAAGAATGGCGTCACTGGCTTGAAGGCACGGAGGCACCATTTATAATACGGACTGATCATAAGAATCTGTCATACTTACAGTCTGCAAAGAGATTAAATCCCCGTCAAGCTCGCTGGTCCTTGTTCTTCACCAGATTCAATTTTACAATAACCTACAGACCTGGTTCATGCAACATTAAACCTGATGCTCTCTCATCAGTTTTCTTCAGAAGACCAAACCCAGAAAGAGGAGAGCATCCTCCCATCCACCTGTTTTGTTGGAGCCCGAACTTGGCCCATTCAACAAGCCATCCAAGAAGCCCAGCAAGCTGAGCCAGACCCTGGTGGAAGTCCTCCTGATCGATTGTTCGTTCCCTCCACTGTAAGAGGTAAAGTTTTGGACTGGCTACACAACAGCAAGTTTTCATGTCACCCTGGTACTCATATGATCTCCCAAGCAGCAGGTTAGTTTTGGTGGCCCACACTCATCAAAGATATAAAAGAATATGTCACTGCATGTACAGTCTGTGCCCATAACAAATGTAGTCATCGGGCTCCATCTGGACTTTTTCATCCCTTACCAATTCCTGAACGACCCTGGTCTCACATCTCATTGGACTCCGTTACTGGCCTCCCGACATCCCAAGGTAATACCACCATACTCACCATTGTTGACAGATTTTCTAAGATGGCCCATTTCATTGCCCTACCCAAGTTACCCACCGCCATAGAAACTGCTCAGTTATTGTCTAATCATGTTGTTAGACTCCATGGCATTCCGCTTGATGTTGTGTCAGATAGAGGACCTCAGTTCATCTCTCAAGTTTGGAAAGCATTTTGTAACGCCTTAGGTGCCACTGTCTGTCATCAGACTACCACCTGCAGTCTAATGGACAAACAGAACGTTGCAATCAGGAGCTGGAGGCCTCTCTTCATTGTATTGCCCACCAGAATCCGTCCCTTTGGTCTCAGCATCTTTGTTGGGTTGAACATGCACATAACACCCATACCTCCACCTCTACTGGTCTTTCACCATTTGAAATTTCCCTGGGATATAACCCTCCACTTTTTCCGCTGGTGGAGTCAGAGTGATCTGTTCCTTCTGTTCAGCATCATATCCGCAGGTGTAGACGTATCTGGCGTTAAACCAAACAAGCGCTCCAACAAACGACTGAACAGAACTAGAAAAGAGCAGACCGGCACCGTTCTGAGGCACCAAGATATCAAGTTGGGCAAAAGGT